GTCTACACCTTCTACCACAACTGTAACTACAGGACCTTCCTAGACTTACACTACTTCATGAAGTTACGAAGTTTAGCAGACAAGCCGCCAATCTAAGATACCAATGACATCAAATAGAATCCTTCTAGTTTACACCTTCTACCACAACTGTAACTACAGGACCTTCCTAGACTTACACTACTTCATGAAGTTACGAAGTTTAGCAGACAAGCCGCTAATCTAAGATACCAATGACATTAAATAGAATCCTTCTAGTTTACACCTTCTACCACAACTGTAACTACAGGACCTTCCTAGACTTACACTAGTTACGGAGTTTAGCAGACAAGCCGCCAATCTAAGATACCAATGACATTAAACAGAATCCTTCTAGTCTACACCTTCTACCACAACTGTAACTACAGGACCTTCCTAGACTTACACTAATTACGGAGTTTAGCAGACAAGCCGCTAATCTAAGATACCAATGATATCAAATAGAATCCTTCTAGTCTACACCTTCTACCACAACTGTAACTACAGTTTAGCAGACAAGCCGCCAATCTAAAACACCGTTAACTAAGATAGGATATAACACCTATTATATGGGATAGGAGAACTTCTCTAGTCTACACCTTCTACCACAACTGTAACTACAGTTTAGCAGACAAGCCGCTAATCTAAAACACCGTTAACTAAGATAGGATATAACACCTATTATATGGGATAGGATAACTTCTCTAGTCTACACCTTCTACCACAACTGTAACTACAGTTTAGCAGACAAGCCGCTAATCTAAAACACCGTTAACTAAGATAGGATATAACACCTATTATATGGGATAGGATAACTTCTCTAGTCTACACCTTTTACCACTTCTGTTGGACAACTTCCACAGGCAAAAACCCAACAGACTATAACGTATAAGTACCATTGGAGGTATATCAGGTGCGCTTTGAAATAATTTCCAAAGAGAATTGATGGAGTAGTTAACAGTAGAATATTCATCTTTCCACATATTTAAAAAGTACCAACTTTAAGAACACTAAGCAACCTTCCAGCTGATAGCCGTTCCGAGTATTAAGTATCAGTGGCTACTTTATCAAATAGATTTGGGATGTCATATCAGAAGGAAACAAAGTTTGGGAGAAAAATGTGGAGGAGTGATAAGATGTTAGCCAAACTAGATGAAAATATAAAAACACTTGTCCAATTATCTTATCCAGATGGTCCACCTAAAATGACGAATATATTGGGCCGCGATCAATTCATAGAAACTCGAATTAAGACTAGAGCAGAGTAGGTGTAAAGGACGCTGTTTAGTTGGCGGTGGAAGTAGAATCAATTAAAGCCTCAGATAAACAATGATAAGCACCATCAAGGATTAGACTAGAACAGAGTAGGTGTAAGGGACGCTGTTTAGTTGCCGGTGGAAGTAGAATCAATTAAAGCCTCAGATAAACAATGATAGGCACCATCAAGGATTAGACTAGAGCAGAGTAGGTGTAAGGGACGCTGTTTAGTTGCCGGTGGAACTAGAATCAATTAAAGCCTCAGTAAACAATGATAGGCACCATCAAGGATTAGACTAGAGCAGAGTAGGTGTAAGGGACGCTGTTTAGTTGCCGGTGGAACTAGAATCAATTAAAGCCTCAGATAAAGAATGATAGGCACCATCAAGGATTAGACTAGAACAGCGTAGGTGTAAGGGACGCTGTTTAGTTGGCGGTGGAAGTAGAATCAATTAAAGCCTCAGATAAACAATGATAGGCACCATCAAGGATTATACTAGAACAGAGTAGGTGTAAGGGACGCTGTTTAGTTGGCGGTGGAACTAGAATCAATTAAAGCCTCAGATAAATAATGATAGGCACCATCAAGGATTAGACTAGAGCAGAGTAGGTGTAAGGGACGCTGTTTAGTTGGCGGTGGAACTAGAATCAATTAAAGCCTCAGATAAACAATGATAGACACCATCAAGGAATTGTGGGACTTGCAGATCAAATAGTGTAGAAATAGAACGTCGTAGTTATCCTTAGGTGGACTGTACTTTCCATTGTTCATTTTACCGAATAATCCATAAAAACCCAGTCAACAATGGATATCATTACAATAATATGTGACACACAAATAACATAATAAAAAATACCGTCAACACTGGAAATTATACCACTAAATATTCCATGTCCTGTGTATTTTACACAGAAATGAACGATTTTACATCAATATTTTTGGTCTGATCTTTACGATGACTAGATAAAAAAGCGCGAAAACATGAAATTACTCAATATAGCGTAATATGTGGAGCCTACTGGAATTGAATGGTATGTATTCAAACGGTAATATGTGGAGCCTACTGGAATTGAATGGTATGTATTCAAACGGTAATATGTGGAGCCTACTGGAATTGAATGGTATTGTATGTATGTAACAGTATGTATTCAAACGGTAATATGAGGGTTAGAAAACTCACTATTCTTTAATTTAACGTAACTCTGAGATTATAATATACATCACGATAACAAACAATGTGTTAACCCTGATATTATAATATACATCACGATAACAAACTGTGTTAACCCTAAAGTTATAATATACATCACGATAACAAACTGTGTTAACACTAAAGTTGTAATATACATCACGATAACAAACAATGTGTTAACCCTGATATTATAATATACATCACGATAACAAACTGTGTTAACCCTGATATTATAATATACATCATGATAACAAACTGTGTTAACCCTGATATTATAATATACATCACGATAACAAACTGTGTTAACCCTGATATTATAATATACATCATGATAACAAACTGTGTTAACCCTGATATTATAATATACATCACGATAACAAACTGTGTTAACCCTAAAGTTATAATATACATCACGATAAC